TTTTTCTTTTCAAAATCTTGTTTCCTTTTCTAAGTCATATTCATTCCAATATGTCTATTATTTGTCTTTGTATTCGAATACGAATAAACTAATAGAAAGTTGTTCTTCTTATAAATAAAATACATAACTAGTTGACATACATTTAGATGAATACAAATTAGGGACAAATACAAGATTCATAAACCATGCAACATAAAATTTTTAATAAATACAAATATTGATAGTATACATAGTGATTTGAATACAAATTAAGAAAGCATACCAAATTCTAAAAAAGAACTATAAATACAAAACAAACTAATAGAAAATTGTTCGACAACTATCCGATCTTCGTCGTCTTTTTCAAGATCCTCACGAGTAGACAAAGATTCTACATTTGCCTTCTGAATTTGAGGAAGCTTTTGCACACCAATGAGTCTTGTAAATGTTCTTACCCTCTTTCTTCCCTCATTTTAGCAGCGGATCATATATTATACACTATTTGTTAAGTAATAAATAAATTAAAGGATGAAAAATCACCAGAAATTGATTGATTAAGATGAATACCTCTAGTAAGCCTCTTGGATTCAACCATTGGACAGTAAATCATAACGGAAATTGAAAAATACAAACAACATTTTTTTAAGATTTAAACAAAAATAAAATTAGAAAAGAAATCTGAAAATAGGATAAAGATTAGAGATACCTTAATCAAAGGGATTCTTGTTGATTCAATTTTGGATTAAAAAACAACCAAAATATATGACAAAAAATATTTGCAACTTGAATGTTGGAGGAAAATCAAAAAAGATAATCATGAGAGAGAAAAGAAATTAAATGAGAGAGAGAATTAACAATTTGAAAAGATAAATATGAGAGAGAATGATTTTTTTTTAAAAGGATATATAGAAATAATTGAAAAAGAGAGATAAAATAGGAAGAAAATTGGGACACATAAATTTTTTAAAATAATGACATTTTTGACATTATTGCTAATATTTATAAAGTATGAATATTTTTACTAAATATGTTATTTATTTTGACTAGTTTACTAATTTTTCCTCTTTTTTTTTACTATAACTATATTGATGCAAAGTGAAATTAAACCATCAATGTTGAAAAATGTATATTTGTTTTCATGAAGATATCAAAGGCCACTTCAAATTTGGCAGCAATACTAGTTGGGCCTATGTGGGCTCGGTCATTGGCCCAATAGGGAATATTTGAGTTCTGTTTGGTTTATTTATGAAAATTATTTAACAACATGAAAGTATAATTAATATTGGACCAACAAAAGACCGGGTCAAAGATATCTCGCCGTCTTTAAAGAAATTCAGGTCCATAAATTCATCTTCACCTATCCAATAATAACTTGCTTGACTTGTTCCCTCTAAGACATAACAATCGTATGACTTGAACAAACGTTGGACAGGTTGATAGAACTCTACGAAGATTGAACACCTTCTTAAAACTCTCTTTTTCACAACATCGACCTCACTTTTTCATGCATTCTACAATATTTTTCGTGTGCCATCACAAGGTATAAAAAAAACCTACATTAATTACCGTCCTAATTTATGTAATGTAGTTTGACCTAATACCAAGTTTTAAGAAAGAAAGACTTCTGAAACGTATAGTCTAAAATAAGTCACTGATGTTTGTTTTGATATAAATCATTCCATTAAGGGCAAAATGGATATTTTAAAGTGAAATTGTTACTATTATAAAAATGTGTAATTCTTTTTTAGGACTGACTAAAAGATATTTCAAAATTTTAACGAATTACTTTATCTAGGGAAATCTATGAGGTAAATTCTTGATGACAAGAATATTTTTGTTAAGAGAATTTGGCACTGAAAAGTCTCATAGCCAACCTTATATGGACCTTTACTATCATTCTACATAATCGTACATGAAATTTTCACCTCATACAACTCGACGTTCATTTCTTTAGAATTCATTATAACCTTTTTCCGTGTCTGAAAACTCTTCCTCCCCTCTTTTTCCACTTCGCCCTGAAGAGTATGCCATGTATACTCCCCATGCTTCTATATGCAATGGACCTCATGACTCATACCATTGACAAAAGGACTCGCACATGAGATTTTCACCTCACATAGCTCCTCGTTCAATCCTTCTTGGAATCTTTGCCATATCTGAGAACTCGATCCCTTCCCCCCTTCTCCGACTATGCTCAAAGAGTACGAATGCCACACACTCTCCATGTGTCCTCAATGGCATTGATAAGTCGTACATGAGATTTTCACCTCATACAACTCCTCGTTCACTTCAAGCATTTCTTCATTGGAAGCTTTTCCATGTTTGAGAACTCCCTCCCCCTTTCTTCTACAACGCCTCGTACTCTCCATGCCTCGTCAATGTAACCCTCCTAGCAATGAGAAATGGTGAATGTCAAAAATATGTCAAAGTACAATTGCATGTCTTAGTAACTGTTACCTGTCAAATGGATCGGAGGATTGTTCACGACCACATGAAGAGCCCAAATCCTCCATATCTCAACACGCGTCCTCATTCCCAAAAAGCTAGCTAATGAAGAGAGAATTGCCTAAGACCATATAAAGGGTCTAAATTCCTGCACACGACACGCTTAATCAGATCACAGATAAGAAAGAACAGTTGGGTGTATTTGTAATACTGGGATTCAACCATATGATAAAAAAATCACAAGAATAAAACTTGTCAAGTTTACCTATCTAGCTGGATGAATGAAAACTTCAAGGCAACTGTTTCCTGAGTCAATTTGATCTTGTTGAATCATTCTAGCGAGTCTCGTGGCATAAGGGCTACAAGAATACAATTCGATAACTTGCAAAGATGGGATATCTCCAATTTCATAAGGGATTTCTTTTAGCTTGTTGCAAAACCTGAAAACTAAATGTTGGAGAGCTGGGAATGGATAACTATCTGTACTTGCCTGCTTCCAAACCACCAAGTCTCTGCTCTCAACCAACAGATATTTGAGTCGATGAAACCCCTCTTCATCGGTTTCCCATTCTGGTCCTTGGAAGGAAAAATACTTGAGTTTGAGAACTTCAAGATTTGGTAAGTTGCCAAGAACTCTAGCATCTTGCCACAGTAGAAGGCTGCAGCTCAAAGTCAAGTTCTTGAGATTCGGTGGGAATGCATTCCATCGTTGGATAGAATTACGAGGAAGAGGATTTTTCATTGGCAAGTTGAAGAGCAACTTGAGAGTTTCAAGTGAGTACATTTGGTGTAGGTTGTTGAGACAACTCCCAAGCCAATCCACATCGTGGTTTCCGCCAGTAACCAGATTAGAGGCCAATGTTTTTAGGTTGGGTAATGTAGCAATGAGTCGATGAGAAAAGTTGATTGTGCTAATAGTGATAGTGCAAAGTGTTTGCAGATTCTCCAAGACTCGAAAGTTCCTTTTCGAGTGATGATCATCAATGGGGGATCCAAATAACAGAACATCTCCTTTGACATGGATGTGCCTTAGTATTGGCATCTTCCATAGTTCCAACGGAAGTATGCGCATCTCCTTGGTTCCCCAATAAATGATTAAGGTTTGTAGACTCTTGAGCTTGGATATCGACCTAGGAAGCTCAGAATTGATGGAGAGCGCGAGGTACCTCAAATGAACTAGTTTTATGACATGAATTGGGAAACCGTAAAAGGAATAGTTAACTACATCCAACACACGAAGCAATTTGAACCCAATACAACCAAAGTAGGAATCCTCTAAAACGGAGCATGCTTTTGATGACAGAAAAGATCGAACGTATGGATTAGAATATGTGTAAGAGGAGTAGGCAAAAATGTCTGAATGGAAATGTAGACGCCGGTGAACACCTTGAGGAAAATGTGGTTCCAACCTTCTCACAACATGCAAAAGCTTTTCTTGTTTAGCTTCTTCTTGGCAAAAGTTTCGCAAGATATCATGAATGCTACATGTTTTGACTCTATTATCATACGATCTCTTACTCACTATAATTAGGCTTCTGTCGATGAGTTCCTGCAAATATTCTTGTCCTACAAATTCCAACGTCTTTGGTGATTCCAACTTTATAAATCCTTCAGCAATCCATAACCTTATGAGCCTCCACACAGGGACTTCAACGTCTTCAGGGAAAGCGCCCATGTAAAGAAAGCATGCCTTCAAATGACGAGACAAATGATTATAACTCAATGCTAGTATATCCAAGAATGGACGCGACTCCTCTGTTACGAATGAAGAATGAATATTTTCTGCAATATCACTCCATTTACTTGCTGTCGCGCTTTCTTTAGAAAGTATCCCAGCTACCATAACAATTGCTAGTGGTAATCCTTTGCATTTTTTTGAAATTTCCATTCCAATCCTTTCCATTTCGTCATCGCAGCAGCAGCAGCTTGGATCATCTAATCCAAAAATCTTCTTTTGCAACAGCTTCCAGCTTTCCTCTACTGTCAAGAAACGCATTTGATGTGGAGGGTTAAGCGGGTTGATATAACGAGCAACTTTCATGATTCGACTAGTCACCATTACTCTACTTCCGTTGTTGTCATTTGGAAAGTATCTTCTAACATCATCCCATGCCTCAGTATACCAAACATCATCCATGACGATCAGATACCTCTGTCCTTTTAAACTTTTGTACAATCGTTCACCCAATTCTTCGTTTTCCATTTCATCCATTATAAACGCAACTTTAGATGTACAAACCAATAGGTCTAACAACATATTCCTCACCTTATATCGTTCCGATACAGTGATCCATGCTCTAACATAAAAGTGTTCCTCTATTAACTTGTCATGATAAATTCTCTTAGCAAGAGTGGTTTTACCTATACCCCCCATACCAAAAATTACCACAACATCTAGCTTATCAGGATATCCTGTTAGTTTATCTGCAATTCGTAAAAAATCATCATATAGACCAACTACAACATGATCCTTTTGTGAACTCAAACTTTGTGTAACATCACGCGAACTACTCGGTGTTGATCTACCTTTGATACAACACATGTCATTATAAACACTAGTGATTGCAGACTCATCAATCTTTCTAAATACTAATCGATGAACGCCAACAAACTTTGTTGCATTCTTCTTTAAACATGAACTGGATGAATACTCAAACATAATTTCCTCAACTATATCTTCTGCTTTACATGATACATCTCTAATAATTCCTTCTAAAAACTTAATATCCTCATGATCTTTTCTACTGTCATCAAAAAAACTTTGCAATAAACTCACCTTTTGTAGGAGAGATTCTGTTTTCTTTCTACTTTTTGGATGGAGTTGCATCAGTCTCTGCAGTGTCTGCATCAAAGATGTAACTTCAGTATAAGCCATATCCAATGAATCACTTAGTATTTTTTGAATTGTTGGTGACAAAAGAAGATAAATCATAGTATTATTTTTAACATAAGAAGACTAAGACTAGTGGCTGTCTTAGCAAGTGATGTCTACTGTGTAGGGACACTGAAGACTAGTGGCAATATGACATGATATTTTTAATTCTAAGCAGATAAAATTAAATAATTTGGCACCCCAAAATGGACTTTTGCATCTATATTTAAGTTTACAAACCAATAAAAAGATTGATATAACTTTAATTTAGAACCATAAGATTAAAAAATCTTCTTTCTTTTTTTAAACTCCGTTTCAAGTCAAACTAGGTCATTCTTTTTGAAACCGAGAGAGTATATGTTTGCTTAATCATGTAATTTTTTCAGCAGTACGAATTATTATGCTTCGCTTCATGTGCTTCCTGCCGATAATAGCATGAGAGTGTATAACAAATGATCCTCCAAGCTTGAAGAGTTTGATTAGGTTCGACTCGAGCAAATAAGTTAAAGGCGTGGCAAAAGAGCGAGCTCGACTCTCAAAATATTCGCAAATTTGAATTTAAGAAAAATAAAATGAAAAACCTCAAAATAATCATCGTCAAGATTTATGAAGTAACAGAAGTGCAAAAGTCAGTCAACACTTGGAGTCACCGGTAAACTCCACCTCTCTCCGGCAGCTTTAGAGTGATCGCCGGCGAAAAAAAAAGGTTAACGGCAACCCCAAGATGATAAAGAAGAAACCCATTACACAATTTCTCAAAACAATCATTATCCTCTTGTTATTTCAACTTTCAACATCTTCACATCGAAAGCCACCTCCACTCCCAATTCTACCAATCCCAAAATCCCGTCAAATCTCATGGCAAATTGCAGAAATGGCCCTTTTCCTTCACTTTGGTACCAACACTTTTACAGATTCAGAATGGGGTACAGGTCATGTTGACCCATCAATTTTTAACCCCAAATTGTTAAATGCAACACAATGGGTTACAGTAGCTAAAGATTTTGGTTTCAAAAGAGTAGTTTTAACTGCTAAGCATCATGATGGATTCTGTCTCTGGCCTTCAAAATACACTGATTATTCTGTTAAATCAAGTCCTTGGAGAAATGGGGTTGGTGATATTGTAGCTGATTTGGCTGAAGCTGCAAGAAATGGGGGATTAGAATTGGGTTTGTATCTTTCTCCATGGGATAGGCATGAGCATTGTTATGGGGAAACTCTTGAGTATAATGAATACTATATGGGTCAAATGACTGAGTTGCTTACAAGGTAAAGATTTGAACTTTTTGCTCTGTGGTTTGGTTTTGAGAGCATTGTCTAGTTTTCCTTATCAGTATTGTTTTTCGTCGATTTTAGTGGCATGTGTTGTTTCCTTTTGGTCAGTTATGCTATGTTGGTATTTGTTGTGGCTACTTGGCAATCTTTATTTAAGCTTGGAAACAACCTATTTGTTTCTACTAGGTAGGGGTAAGGTCGGTGTTCCTTGATTTCTGTTGCTATTTACTGCATTTGTACTTTGATTGTTGTATTATTTGTTGTAGTTAGTGTTCGCTTAAGCTGTGAAGGGATGCTCAAAATGTGTTGAGTGCTTCATACTCACTTAATGTGCTCTTTAGTGTCGTCATCATCAAGGTTTTGAGACATACTTTTTGTTGCCAATGAGTTTGATCTTAAGAGACGACACTAAATGATTGATATTTCAGTTTATCATTAAAAAAATCTATCTCTTTGTTCGTATATTTGTCATTTGTGCTTATAATTATTAGTCTTGGACTAAACATATATATTTGTATTTTTTCCTCCCTATCCTCCCTAGATCACACTTGGTTTGCTGTTCTTGGTTTGGTTTTGAATTGATTTGAGAATGTTTTTAGTGACTTCAGTAAGAGCATTTCTCGGTTTGTTGGATTATATAGCTCTATTGTTATGGTTGTTGTTGCTTACAAGGTAAAGACTCTTAACTTTTTGTTTTGTTGTTTAGTTCCTCGATTTATGTTACTATGTTCTGCTTTTTGTACTTCGATTATCGTATTATTTGTTGTAGTTATTGTTTACTGTTCAGAATGCTTTCCCATGTTTTGTATAGTATTTTGCCATGGGTTCTTCACTTCAGTTATTTCCTTTTTCGATCTGCTTTGATTCTTTTTCCTTGCGTTGAGGATGTATCATGAACAACCTCTCTACCCTCTAGGGATAAGGTCTGCATTCTATCTTCTCTAGACCTTACTTTGTGGGATTATACTGGGTCTGTCGTTGTTGTTCTTTCATTTAATTTTGAATTTTTTTGAGAATGTCTTTTTTTGGTGAATTTAAGAGCATTTCTTGGTTTGTTAGATTCTACTGCTCTATTGTTATGGTTGTTGCAGACCCTAAAATTAATAATTAGAAGTATTCCGTTTCCTACAATTTATGATTCTAGATGAGGTGGTACACATAGTTTTCATTGTTAGTAAGATAGTTGTTACAACGTTTTTTAGGGAAATAATAAAGTATGTGCTTTTTGGATTAGAGCTTGTTCTGGCTTTAATGTAGTTATTCATGTTGTGATTGAGATACTAAATATGTATGTGATTCAAAAAACGTGAAAATGGAGAGTGAGTTGATGAAGTTGTGCATGATGGTTTAAAATTGTAACTCACGTTTGTAGTTTCACAGTCGAGTTTTTACGGTGCCAATGTAGAATGATTCTTTTTTCTGTCTGGGAATAGTTATCGAAGGACCAATTTAGAATGATCTCTTTAAGTATGAGTTCTATGATGACAGGGATTTGTGAGTCGTTATACTTACTAATGACTTCAAACAATGACTACTGCTGCTACACCTCAATTCGAATCTTGTCAAGGTTGGCTATATTAATCCTATTCATTCTCTCAATTTGGTCGTGTTTCGTACTAATGGCTGTGAAGCAACACAATTATGGACATATCACAGTTTAATTGTTTGTGCCAGACTGCACATTTTAGAAGCTTGAAGGTAGAGTTTTTGGAATGATAGATTCCTAATTTAGTTCTCGGAATAATTAATAAACCTTATTCAAATGGAAAATACTACTTTTTTCCCTAGAACAGTCAAATTTAACTATGGACATGAGGAACGTGAATTCACACTCTTACTCGAGTCGTAACACTTCAGGTCATCTTACCAAAGTATGAGAGGATCTGACCCCCACCAATTATAGTTTGTATTTATTTTGTTGCTGAGTTTACTATTTCTTGCCATAAGAAACTGCACAAATATTTAGACAAAGATATATGTGAAACTTGATTATACAGGACATATAGGCAGAATTTATGAAATTAACTGTTTCTTTTAACTGTTGAGTTTCTACGATTAGAGAAACTTCTAACAACAAACACTCTCAAATCTCCACCCCTGCCGAAAAAAATCTGTTGAGCAGATATGGAGAGATTAAATATGTTTTTTTAGATGGTGCAAAAGGTGATGGCGAGAAGGATATGGAGTATTTCTTTGATGATTGGTTTAGCCTTATTCATCAACTCCAACCTGGAGCTTCAATTTTCTCTGATGTTGGTCCTGATACAAGGTGGGTTGGGAACGAGAATGGTGTTGCTGGAAGCACGTGCTGGTCCCTTTTCAATGGCAGCAACGTCAAGATTGGTGGTTATAGTGATGCCAGGTAAGTCTTGTTTGATTAGTCTCTTATTCATCGATCTTCTAATTCCTATTTGCTTTCAGTGAAAACTTCTTACCATGTCGTTTACTGTTAGATGTGAATGCCATTTTAGCTAGCAATAACACCTTTAGTAAAAATGAAAGGCCCCATATCACTCTTAAATTCCATCAATCGATACAAGAAATCTATATGGAATAAGTGCTTTCACATAATGCATAACAATTCAGTGTCTTTCCTACATCATTCAACTCTTAGTTCTCGGAACACTAAGCTTCCTTTTATCCCTCTATTTTTTCAATGTATTCAACAGATATTCAGCGGAGGGGGACGCCTTTGGCCAAGACTGGGTTCCTGCTGAGTGTGATGTGTCTATCCGATCTGGTTGGTTTTGGCATGCATCAGAAAAGCCAAAAAGTGCAATGACTCTTCTGGATTTGTATTACAAATCAGTCGGTAGAAACTGTCCCTTATTGCTAAATGTACCGCCTAACTCATCCGGTCTCATATCAGACGAAGATATACATGTCCTCAAAGAGTTCTCCGAGCTTCGTAATTCTATATTCTCCCATAATCTTGCAAAATCTGCCCTTCTTTCTGCCAGCAGTATACGAGGAGATTCGAATGATACTCAGTTTAGCCCCAAGAATGTAATTGAGGAAGGATTACATACATATTGGGCTCCAGATCAGGGACAACAATCAGACTGGACACTATATTTACAATTTCAACAGGTTATAACTTTCAACGTCTTGGGACTTCAAGAACCAATTCAAATGGGGCAGCGTATTATCGAGTTTCATCTTGACATGTTAGATGAAAATGGAAAATGGCAACATGTGGTAAATGGAACGACAGTAGGATATCGGAGGCTGTTACTTTTTCCTACAGTGAAATCTCACCTACTAAGGTTGGTTATCGACAAGTCCAAGGTGCTCCCTCTAATCTCTCACTTGGGAATTTACATGGATTCGTATACTGTTCCACGACATGTCTCTGATGATACACATATGAAATCAAAGTTCATCAACAACTTATTTTTCAGAAGAACTGCATATAACCAGTCTCAATCTGCTTCCATCTAATCTTCGTCGAGCAGCTTTGAGTGTACAATGCATCATCTTCTTTTTTTGGTTTTTCTGATGCTTTTTCATGTTGATTCTTCTTCAATTTCAGTTGTTGTAACATAAAGTTTATATAACACAAACTCACATTAGTTTGGAGCAACTTTCAATGTACTGGAAACCTTGTAATTTTTCTAATGCTTGTGTGAATAAAATTTTATAGCCTGATTTCAGCTGTTGTGTGAAGTTCATAAAATTTTGTGCATAAGACCTAATGTGGTCCGACCTCATGCATAGCGAAAACTTAGTATATCAGACGGTTTTTTTTTTTAATGTATGGTGATGTAAGTGAATAACTTCCAAATATCTTAGCATATTGATTCGGATTAATGTACACAAATCACACTACTTTAGGATCTAATTACTAAAACTCACGTT